CAAGCATATCTGGCCGTTGAGTGAAGATGATGGTATTTACTTTCGACATAGTTAATATTATCTGCTATGAGTGCTCATTTTGTCCAATTATTTTGCCTGTCAGTTATAGATTGTAGTGTGTAATGGTGATTTTGTTTTTTTAATTGGCATTAAAGGGATTGGACCCTCTATGTCTATACATTGGTTGTTGCAATCAAAGAATTATTCTATGAAATGACATTTGGACACATGCACTCACGGATCTCAAGTTCTAAATTTTCTTCATTTATTAAATATATAAGTACTGTGAGGAAAACTATCATTCTCTATCTGACTCCGTTATTGTAGCTGATGATCTTAATGATAACCTTTGGTGAGAGAACTTTCTAGTTGGAGGTATAACTTGTAAGGAACTATCTTTTCGGGTTTAGATGAAAACATGTTATTTATGCATGTTCCTTTTATAATTTTGCTAGTTTTAGCTGAAGATGATTACAATGGTGAAGTTATACTTTCCATGAAATATGAGGCCCCTAGCACATAAGCCTTTAACCTATCTCCAAAAGTTGTTCAGGTGATGATAAAATTGAAACTGATATAAATCTTTAATTCCATGCAAATAGTCATGTAAATATATAACACCTGGTGCTGAAAGATGAAGGAAATTTCAATAATGGGATTATCTATTGATAGCAATTTCTATGCTCATTATTATTTTTTGTTTTCGTAGGTAATTTTCGTTCTATTGGATGTGATATGTAATATTTCCAAGGTGCAAACTAATCTATTTCTTTCCAGCCTTGGATTACCTTAGGATGTTTAAATTTTTCTGCAATTTCAACTTCAACTTCTTCAAAAAGGCTTCCGCATTGAACTTCAGTTTTATATCACTAATGGTATATTATAAGTTTCTTATGTCTTTCTTCTGAAGGCATTGCCCTGAACTTGCATAATTTATGTGATCGTTTAAATATTAATGCTGTGCCAACAATTTAAATCCAGAAAATTCAAATCATGAGATGAAATGTGAAGGCGGTGATGATTCAATATCCATAAATGCTGAAAGTGCAAAGGAAGAGGAGAAAGAAGAGGAAAAGGAAGATGATGATGATCCTGTTTCCATAAATGCTGAAAGTTCAAAAGAAGAAGAGAAAGAAGAGGAAAAGGAAGGGGAGCAAGAGGAGGAGGAGGAAGAAGAGGCAGAGCACGAGGGTAATGCACATAGAAGCAAGAACAAAAGGTTTATTTTCTTTTTTGACTATAACTTTTGCTGGTGTTTGCTTATACTCTCCTCTATGTAAGTTCATTATCAAGTTTATATGTATGCTCAATGTAATCCTATATATAAGTATCGGTAGTACATGTTCCTTGTCATACTAGATTATCAACTGTCAGATAGAGAGATTAGTACTTAATGCAACTATACTGTTAGTTTCTGTTATATGTTTATGTATTTGTTTAGGTTTGTAACATTTTATCAAGGTGTGTAGTTGCAAGGATCCCTAGATTTGTGGTTTAGTTGTCCTTGTTTGTAGTATCCTGGTTCCATTAGATAAATGAAAATAGATGGTTTCTGAAATTGTTGCATTTGAGTAATCTACTGGAGGGAAATATTTCTTAAGCTACTTGATGCTAATGTAAATTTCTAACAAATTATTGTAGCTCGTCTAAGTGGATAAAGATATCAAGAGAAGGGGAGGTGGGTTTAGTAAGTTATGTAGTCTTTCCCCACAGCTTCAGGAATTTATTGGAGAATCTGAGCTGGCCAGAACTGAGGTTTAGATATTTTCATTTGGACATGTTAATCTTGTGAACCTTTTCTAATCAAAATCTTATGTTAGTTACCTGTTAATGCCTTTTCTTCCTTGCTTTTTCTTTCTTTTACTTGTAGGTTGTCAAGAAATTGTGGGCTTATATCCGAGAGAAGAATTTGCAAGATCCGAAGGACAAGAGAAATGTAACATGTGATGAATCATTGCATGCTCTTTTTGGCGTAAATTCTATCAACATGTTTCAGATGAACAAGGCTCTTTCCAAACACATATGGCCGTTAAATGAGGAAGATGGTATCATCTTAAGCATGACTTCCCCTGATACTTGACTGGATTGTGATATAAATGTTATTCAATCTTTATTTTCTCCTCACATACCAGTTTGTTTGGCAAAGCTAAACATGACTCTTCTTGCGTTTAAATCTTTGTTAGCACATGAACTTGGAATAACTTTTTATTCTATCCATTGCTATAGGTCTTTAAACAAGGTGGCCCCTTTCAAATTATTTTGTATAATTGCAAAGTTAGCAAGTTTGTCCCCTTCAAATGATTTTCTCTAACTGCGAAGTTGGTAAAGCTTTCTTTTAGAATGGGTCCCTCGACTCTTCTGTTTATATTATACCTATGTTTGAAGGGGAACTATTACATCTTGAAGGGCTTGTATTTGTTGTCTAAGGAACATTACCCAAATACTTTTTCTTTATTGAACTTTCAGAACTGTAATATTTGTTTTGCTGATTTGTTCATATGATCCATTACCATTTGAATTGCACTGCCCTTGGTTTTGCTTCTGTTGATTATCCACAAAGTTGGTCTTCACTGCTTGAATAAATTGTTTTTCCCTTGATGTGACAGCTCAATCTGACTTTGCAAAAATGGAAACAAAATCTAAACAAGCAATGGAGAAGGGTGAGTGAATTTTCAAGTCTATTAGTTATGAGGGTCCTGCATGATTTTGGCCAATAATTTTTTATTTCCTTGATGTGGCAGCTCAAGCTGACTCCGCCAAAACGGAAAGAAAATCTAAAATAGCAAGGGAGAGGGGTGAGTAAATTTTCAAGTCTATTAGTTATGAGGGTCCTGCATGATTTTCGCTGCCCACGCGAAGCAATGAATGATAGAACTTGGTTTAATGGATGATGGATTTGAGCTGTTTTGTCTATAACAATTTTTTTATATATATTTATATCAGGTTCATCTGAGCCAAAACAGAAAGAAAAGAGGCAGAAGAAAGGAACATCTGGTTTTCTTGCTCCTCTTCCACTTTCAGATGCTCTTGTGAAATTTTTTGCTACAGGTGAAAATGCACTAAGTCGTGCTGATGTTGTGAAGAGAATATGGGACTACATTAAAAAGAATGATCTTCAGGTTTGCTTGTTGTCTTCTATCGTTGGTTATACATGGTTTTGATTTTTGGTGAAGAAGCTTGGATGATAAAATCTCCATTTTATGCAATACTATGTTACTTGGACACGGTATAGCTAGAATTTCCCAGTTTTTGCATATATTTGAAGGATCATTGTTGGTCATATCCCCATATCCATGTGTCGGACACAAATGTTGAGACATGAGTACTTCAAGAAGAATGAAGAAGTCCGATCAACATAGATGCTATGAGTATCTGAACCTCTTCCGAAAGTCGTATATGCTGGCAATTAGAAAGCTTCAGCTCACTTCTGACCCTCGCACACAAACATATTATATGCTCAATCTATATTCGTAGTTGCAGTGCTTCATATTATATGCTTTGGAGAAATTTATCTGCATTGTTCAAATCTATTTTCAAATCTCTAGCATGAATTCTTTATTATCTTATTCATGATTATTTTTGTGTTTCAAAAGGATCCATCTGATAAGAGAAAGATTTTATGCGACTGTAAGCTCAAAGAACTTTTCGAGGTGGACTCCTTCAATGGCTTTTCCATGACAAAGCTTCTGACCACTCATTTCATCAAGCTGGAACAGTGAGTTGTTTCTTCCGTGTACATAACATAAACATAAACCTATGAGCTAAAAGTGGGCAATTTTGCTTGGCAAATGAAACCAGCAACATCTTTTGAGAAGAAGTTTAAAGCTTTCTGCTTTTGGCCCTCATATGCATGCTAAGTGCTTAACATACGTATCGCTCGTAGTTCACTTACATTTGTGATGTAAAACTAAATGAGTTTTATCCGCATTATGCGATGTTTTAAAATCAACTTGATATTGTTATCATATAGACCGATAATACCATCTTTCAAAATGCACCAATGGTTAGAAAGCTGTACATTGAAAAGATTCGAATTGTCAAATTTAGGCATGTGGATTAATTTTTTAATTGAGCATAATATAGGGACAAACTATAATTTGATAAGCGGATTAAATTATTTAAACAATGATTTTTTTGAATTTTTTTATAATTTTTATATAAATAATTCATTTAAGAATTGTGAAATATTCAAAATTTCAAACCAACAAAAAAAATTAACCGGTAAAATTCATTTATCTACCTATATCAAAGTTTGTAATTGAGATTTAAATCAAAAGGTATTTTCATTCATCGTTAATTATATTTAATGTCATCGGAAGCAAAATGGAGGTAATATTTGCTTTGGCCCCTGAAAAAAAAGGGTTTCCCTTTAGCTCCTTAGGAATGATGAAATTATAATTTAGTTCATTGGTAAAATTACACTTTATTTCCCTAAAATTTAAACTTTAATTTTAGGCCCATAATAAAAAAAACCTAGCTTTATCTTAGATAGAAGACTGTTACAAATTTAAATGTGTTCAAACGTATAATGTCTAAAAGTTGTAACAACAACGATGTTAATCAATAAATAATAATTATAATCTTTTAATCTCTTTTATTAAAGGGAAAAGGTTACAATTTTATTCTTCTTTGAAAAAATAAAATTTTTAATTTGGACGTTTCTAGAAATTTACAATTCGGCCACGTGCGTAATCCAAGAAAGTGGGAGTTAGTTAAAGTGGTGGCAAATCCCAAACCTTAAAAGAAACGGTCAAACTCCAAAAGCAACGGTTAACGTGTAAGAAAATCTCATCTCTCTCCTTGGCCGCCAAATGTGGATTCAAAGCAAACAGTTACCAAAGTTACAGTTAACTAAACTTTAGGAGAGAAAAATACAGAACAAATCTTAAAGTTCCCAAAACACACATTGACAGGGGGAAACACAAAACAGATCACGGACTTCTTCTTCTTCTTCTTTTATTTTTGTTGGGTTTTTTTTAAAGAGTAAATTTTTAACAAATATGGCACAAGCCCAAGCTGAGGAAAAGCCTAAAGAAGAACCACCCCACGACAGGTTTCAAATGAAAGATCATCAAGCCATTTCCATGGCTCCTGCAAAACCAACAATCGGTTGTAAATGTAATACTCCCATTTCCATGGCCGCTGCGAAACAGACGATCGGTTGTGGTAGTGGTACTAGTGGCAGTAACAACAACGGCAATGGTGTAACGTTCAAATTCAATGCACACGCACCGGAGTTCGTGCCGAAATCGCATAACCAAATGCCCATCTCGGGTTATTATTACCCTTTTTTCCATTACCTCGGTGGTGGCGCCACCGCCGCCTCTGAGTGGTTCTTCCTTGGTGACCAAGAACCTTCTACTTTTTTGAACTCTAACCCCAGTCTCTCTATCCCTAATTGTTCTTCCAAGACTGTTCTCATGATGATCTCCGCCAAAAGATCATCAAACAGGTAATCTTTTATGGGTTTTTTTTCAGCTCTTTTTGCTTGCTTTATCATTGTGATCATCAACTGTTTGATATATTTCCTTTTAACAATGAATGGTGTGAAAATAGTGTGATTTGTTTCTGATTGTGTGATGAAACAGGTGGAATACCAGTTCAGTGACATGAGTCTGATCGCAAACGAATCGTTGTCGAAGCAAATAAGTAAAGATCCCGAAGGTTATGGTATGGAAACTTGTGTTCTTGTTAAAATTTTCAATATCAAGATAGTTTTTTCACTGATGGCCAATGAGACCTTATTAGAGTTAGCAAGGTTGAGGCTTTCGAATTAGTTTTGGACTTTCGATCGAATCGAATTAGTTGTTGAGTTAATTATATTGTTCGGTGCTTAAACGGTTTTTCACTGATAAGTATTGCCTTTGCTTTAGTGCCTATACCTTTTATTGCTTCAACAAAGAAAATCAAGTCCCTCATCACCAACCACCAGTTGCTGGCCCAAGCACTTTGCTCCTCCTTAAAGCTTGTAAGTTCTTTGGTTCCATTGCTCTTGTTCAATTACGATAAGTAAAATTCGGGTTTTTTTAAGTGATGATCTTTGTTCTTTTGATGTGTTTTACTAACATGCTTGGAAAGGTTGTGAGTGATGATGGCAAGAAGGTTCGTCGTAAGCACCCATTCACCGAAAAAGAACGAGAACAAGTGCAGGTTGGATAGTGGATTTAAGATTTTGCCTTTTTTTATATGGTGCAAGTTGCAATCTACTTTTTCCTTTGTTTTGCAGTCTCGTACTGTTGTTGTAGAGAATTTGCCTGAAGATCACTCTCATCAGAACCTTGACAAAATCTTTAATGTTGTTGGGAGGTTTGGTTTTCGTCACATTCGGTTTCAGTTTCTGGTTTGTTGTTGGATATCTAGAATGGTTCTTTTGCAGCTCATACTATTAATGTTTTGATACAGTGTGAAGAACATCAGAATATGTCATCCCCAGGAATCCAATTCTTCTCGTTCTAAGAACGACTATTTTATGTCTAACAAGGTATGGATGTCGGAATCGAACCTGTTTTCTCAGTTAATCGTAGAGATTATTACACAATTGCCCCATGATTCCTTTCTTCTGCTGTTGTTCATTAAGCTACATGCACTTGTGGAATACGATTCGACAAAGTTTGCTGAGAAGGCGGTATGTTGACGTAGTTTTTCTTCTTGAACTTCTTGTTGTGATCTAATCGTTTTAGTTCTTTTTTGCAATGCCATTCAAAGCTTACCACTCCGATGCAGGTTGAGAGGCTAAACGATGAAAGGAATTGGCGAAAGGGGCTTCGAGTAAGGCTGCTGCTTAGACTCTCGGTATGTTGTGTATGTCTTTCACAATTTACATCTGATCTGTTTGAATGCTCTGTGCTTAATAGAAACCATTCACAACATCTGTTTTGGTACAAAATGCACAGCCTAAATCCGTTCTGAAAACTCGAAAATCAGAATTCGATGGCATATTAGACGACGATGATTCACCCCATGCTGAACACTCCGAAGGTTCTTCTCCACCAAATGCTGAATCATTTGAGACCAATGTAAGCAACAATGTTGATTAACCATGTTCATTATATGGCTACTTTGCGTTACGAGCTGACTGAAAAAATTCCTCATCCGTTAGGCTGAAAACAGTGCATTGGGATTGAAGAAGGGATGGTCTAAATCACGCGGGAAACTTCGGGGGTGCGCCCAAAACCACACCGGACGTGGCCTGCTTTCCGGATCTCCTCAACCTAGCAATGCAGTCCAATGCGAAGCATCGATGAAACAGATGTTGAAGGGCCCGAGAATGCCGGATGGAACCAGGGGTTTCACCATGGGACGAGGCAAGCCGTTGAGCTCACCATTGGAGTGATGATGAATTTCCACAATTTTTCCATGTCTGCTATCTGATATTAACAAAATACTCTGAAAATAGCTCTGCATTTTTCCTGAAAGCAGCACGAAATGATCAAGTAGCTATGCATGGTATCTGGCCTATGTATAGTTTAGTACTGCTTCATAGCTATTTGATGGTCATCTCCTTCGGGCACACCAATTTTTCTGGGTTTCTGTTGAGTATATTGCTCTGGATTCATCAGCTTTCGGCTTTGAATTCTGTAATGTATCCGAATAATCCAATCGAATCGATACATCCGTTTCTTTTCTCTCATTGTCAAAATCTGTTAACCACCTCTATTCTACACAATACACATACCTTAAGCAGAGAATTGAAACAGGCAAAGACTCTTTGAAGAAACTACTAATTAGCGTTGTCTTGTGGTGCAAGGCAGCTAAGTCCAGGCATTTTTGGGTAAATTTGTGTAAAAAGCCCCTGAAACTTTCCTCTCAAATCTAATTATCGAACTCCCTTTGATTCATCCATATCGAAGTATTTTCTTTAAAATCCGAATGATGGAGAGATCGAGAAGTAAAAAATGTAAATATATCTCTATTTATGATGATTAACAGTGGAATTGCATACTAAATTAAGATAGTATTAGAGCTTTGATTAGAGTTATTGATTTTAAAGGGACGATGGAGATTAACCATTCATGCCCTTAAGTGACCCTACGTTGACGTCAGATGTAGCGGGTGAACTTTTAAATTTCATTTTAATTTTAATTAGCTCTCGGTGTTTATTAAAATTGTCAATTTGGTTCCTATTCTTTTTTAAGCAATTTTGTTCACGACATTTTATTTTAAAGTAAAAAGACCCCAATTGATTAAATAATCATTTCGATCCTCATTCTTTCTTTCCAGAGCATTATGGCCCTCGATGTTTTACTTTAAAATAAAAATCTCTTATTTTGGAGTGTTAATCGTTTTTCAATTAACGGTTGTCATTCACATCGTGACCTTTTTGCTCCAAAATGAAACGTTGGAGCAAAATACTAAAAAAAAGGGTCAAATTGAATTTTAATCATAAAAATAAAACGATTAAAAACCAATTATGTTAAAGGCCAAAATAAAAGGAAAAAAATAACCATTGATTGTTCTAATAGAATGAAGTACTAAATCCTTTAAATAATATCAGGAGTTCGAACTTTGACATTTACGACTGAAGCAAACTAGATTTGGAGGGTCGCTCTTATGAGAGCTCATACAAAATCCAATTTGAATTAGACAATCAATAGATCGATTAAAAAAAGAATAGACATAGTCCGATAAAAGAATACAATTATAAGAGCAATGTATTAAAAAACATAGGTAAGCTACATATTTAATCATATATTCGTTATATTTTGTTTTGATCATTTAATTATTTTTTCAAAACTATACCTAATACTCCCTTCGTCCCATTAAACTTGTCTCTTTTAATTTTTAAAATCGTCTCATTTAAAATATCATATTAAATTTTTTTAACAAACAACAACATTTATATTTCTTTTTAACAAACCAATCGTAATATTGCATTTAATGGAGTTAATATTGAGGGGGATAATATGTAGCCATTCTAGGTTATATTATCCAAATATACCCCATTTAAGAATAATTTATCATTCTAACACCTATTACAAATTATTTTTTCAACCCATCTCATTTAAAATTCATATAATTTTATTTTATATTTTTATTAATATTTTTCTTTTTCTTTCGTTTCAGCTCAACTTAAAGGATTTTGATTTTCTGTGTTACATAAGCGGAATGTGTGCTTTCTGCATAAAGAGTTTTCTACTTATGTGGCACAAAAAACATGTTAACTTAAAAAATAATTTGAAATGCATGTTAAAATGATAAATTATTTTTAAATAATATATATTTGGATAAAATAGCCAACATTCTACTCTTTATAAACACATTGTAGATCGATTATTTTAGAATGATGGTTTTTAGGATAAAATTGTCATTCTAGAAAACCAATCTAAAAGATAAATTTAGTTGATATTAATGCTGATAAAATATTAAAATATACATCAGTTTAATAAATCTATTATTTTGTTCTGTTAATTGATTTAAGTTGAAAATAAAAATAAAAATTCGAGGGCCAAAAGAGATAGAAAAGGCCAAGGGCTAAAATGACCTTTTGAACAAATTCAAGGGTAAAAAATGTCATTAGGTCTAAAATGAATATAAAAAGTACGAAAATGAGAATATAAGTATAGTACAAGGATTAAATTAACTATTGAGCCTAAAAGAAAACCAGAGAGGAGCAGACAAATGGTAACCCAAACTCCAAAGAGACAGGGAGCCCCCATTTTTTATATTTGAAAAAAAGAAAAGAAAAGAAAATTAAACGGAAAGAAGCGGGATTAGGGTTTTGCAGAGAAGAAGTCTCTGGAGAGAGAGAGAGAGAGAGTTAGGTAAATATCTGTATATCTTATATATATAAACATAAAATCTGTATCAGCAACAAAGAGGAAAGTAAAAGAAACGAAAGGAAAAGGCTGAAGAGAGAGAGAGAGAGAGAGAGAGAGAGAGAGAGAGAGATCATGAATGTGGTGAAGAGGCAACGATGTTATTTGGATATAAGCATAGGTGACGAGCTTGAAGGAAGGATAATAGTGGAACTGTTCAATGATGTAGTGCCCAAAACTGCCGAGAATTTCAGGGCTCTTTGCACTGGTGAAAAGGGCATTGGCCCTAACACCGGCGTGCCTCTTCACTACAAGGTCTTTCTCTCTCTATTTATTTTTGTTGTTGTTTTAATTTGAGTTGTTTGCATATCTGGGTTTATGTTGGCTTTTCTTTTCTGGGTTCGTGTTCTTGGAATGAAAGCTTACTGGTTCTTTTCACTCTTTGAATTTGTTTCTCTGTAGTATTGGTAGATGGAAATCTTGGAGATCTTTGAATATATGGATGCATGTTGAGTATTGGTGTCAACTTTGATATTGATTCTTTAATTTGTTAATTGATCATTTGAATTGGAATATTTGAAATAGTTGGGTTTAGGGCACTCTTGAATCATTAAGATAGTATTTGTTTTGATTTCTTTTTTCAGAAAAGATGTTTCATTGCTTAATTATAATCTCTCTTCATTTGGATGGCAACTTCAGTTTTGTTCTGTTTGAATGATACTTTTATTTTTTATTATTATTATTTCAGGGAGTTCGTTTCCATCGAGTTATCAAAGGATTTATGCTACAAGGTGGCGATATATCTGCTGGTGATGGTACCGGAGGAGAGTCAATTTATGGTTTGAAATTCGAAGATGAAAATTTTGAATTGAAACATGAAAGGAAAGGAATGTTATCTATGGCAAACTCTGGTCCTAACACAAACGGGTCTCAGTTCTTCATCACTACAACTCGCACTTCTCATTTAGACGGTAAACATGTTTTATTTGGTAAGGTGGTCAAAGGAATGGGAGTAGTTCGTTCAATTGAGCATGTATCAACCGGTGAAGCTGATTGCCCCACTGTCCACGTCACAATCACTGGTTGTGGAGAAATCCCAGAGGGGGCCGATGATGGGATATCCAATTTTTTCAACGATGGTGATTCTTATGCTGATTGGCCAGCTGACCTTGATGAGAGTCCTAACGAGCTCTCTTGGTGGATGACTGCTGTAGATTCTACTAAGGCTTTCGGAAATGAACATTATAAGGTAATTGGTTTATACATGTTTATTAGCAATGTAATTGGTTTTTTGTCACACGGGATTGTGTTTTCATACAACCCTCTTGCGATTGGATATCTGAATGGTGCTCCTAATTGCCATTTGTTTTAGTTTCTCCTTTGAGGTCTCATTTGTGCTTAATTAATGTGCTTAACAGAAACAAGACTATAAGATGGCTCTCAGAAAGTACAGGAAGGCTCTACGCTATTTAGATATCTGCTGGGAAAAAGAGGGGATTGATGAAGGTAACAACATTTCTTTGCTCTAGAGTGTATCGTCTTTCTCTTATAAATGAAGTTGTAAGATTCTGGATTCACCTTGGTTGTTTTGCATATACTGTTTCGTGGCTTTGCAGAGAAGAGTTCAAGTTTGAGAAAGACAAAATCCCAGATATTCACAAATAGTTCTGTAAGCATCATTTGTCACTCTTTGACTGCCTATCAATTTTTTAGCAGTTTAAAGTTCAAATATTTATCAACCTTGGCTGCACTATTATTGTTTTGTTATCCTAGAGCTCTGATTAAACATGGACTATTATTGTTTTATGTCTTCTCGGTCGACTTTTTATTTGTACTGAACTTAGTTATCTTGCATTTCCCCCCCTTATACTTGATGGGTTATGTGGCTTTAGGCCTGTAAACTAAAACTAGGGGATCTGAAAGGAGCACTATTGGACACCGAATTTGCAATGCGTGATGAAGAAAACAATGTGAAAGCGCTGTTCCGTCAAGGTCAGGTTAGTATTCCTAGGTGTAATGAGTTTAATCTCTTTGATGCGGACGGCTTTAGCTTTTGGTCTAAGCTAATCATCTCTCCTGGAAAAGTTGTTGACCATGAACCTTGCACAGAAGTTACTGTTACATCTTGTTCAGTTATCTTCTTGATGTTGCACTTTCTGTCAATTCACGCGCACATTCTTGTCCTAACGATTGCAATAATCATCTTCCAGGCACACATGGCACTTAATGATGTTGATGCGGCTGCTGAAAGCTTCAAGAAAGCTTTGCAATTGGAGCCAAATGATGGTTAGTAATGAACTTGGCTACGATTAACTTAATAGGATTATTCTTCTTGACACCAAGGCAGTGTATATTGTCAAACAATGTGAACTTGTTGAGACCTTTTTGATAACATTTTGCTATGCATTCGATTCAGGTGGGATAAAGAAAGAGCTTGTTACTGCTACGAAAAAGGTTGGTAGACCAAATTGAATACATAGTTCCTTTAGGCACCAAACATATGTAAACAAATGTATTTATGGAGCTAAACTTGGTGAGCACAGATCAACGATCGACGCAATGAGGAGAGAAGAAGATACCGCAAGATGTTCCAACCAAACCCAACTGGTATGTCAAGTGTGCTATGCTTTTGGCTTTGCTTGTATTCATTTTTTTTCTTATCGCTGCTCGACATATGAATGATGTACTTGCATACGGGAACATTCAATGCAGGTGCAGACGAGCAATAGTGTTTTGAGAGCTTTGATGATCTTTTGCAGTTGCATATAGTTAGTTTCATCTGGTTTAGGCTTTCTTCATCAGGATCTCTTATGTTTCGGAGAAAACACTAGGGTTCGGTTCGGGTATTCAGCTTCTGCTTTCCGGTGCAACTGTTCGATAAAACTGATTAGAAACGAATACATATTGTGTTAGTTCGTTTAGGAAACGATGAAATCCTTGAAAATAGAACTTGTCATGTTGTTTTTATCAGGTTTCAGTGGAAGGAGAGAAAACATTTCTAAGCAGAATTCAACTGTGCAAATATGAGGCTTGAACCAATTGTTGTTAGACTAAAGATTTGATAATTTTTAAAAGATAATTTTTTACTGTTGATTTTGGATGTTAAAGTCTTTGGTTGCTTTGCTTTGTTAGTATCATGTTTCGGGATTTAAATCTACACTCTTTTCGTGATAAATCGAGTAATTATGTTAGGTACTGGATTAAGTTGAAATATAGATTATTTATTTATTTATAATTTATATAAATATAAAAATACTCTAAATGTAATTATAATATGATAAAGATGACAGTGAAATTAACCAAAAATCCAACCACCAGTGACACCCCTAGTTCTTCCATTTGTGGATATACGAAAAATACCCAGACGAAGAAACGGTATCGAAACAAAAGAGAAAGGCCTGGAAATAGAAACCGAAAGGGAAAGAGAAAAGGAAAACGATGAGTTTGTTTGGAGGAGATAGCTGGGAAAGAGAAGCACAATATCGAAAGCGAAGAATCGGTGAAGTTGTTTTAGAGGGGATCGACGTTGATGGCTATTCTTGCAAGAAGCTGTCTTCCGGCAAATACGCTTGTCTTGTCTGCCGTCACAACCCCATCTTTGATACTCCTCTCATGCTCTCTGTAAGCTTCACTTTTATTCACTCTGAATTCTTTTGTCATACTAAAAAACCTCATAAATTTAAAACCCAAATTGATGGTGTTTTAGTTATATTGGGGTAGGTTTACTATTTGAACTGATTAGAAGGCATTTTCTTGCTTACTTTCATGGTTTGAACTTTGAACTAATGGTCATAGTTAGACTCAAATGCTTATCCGGTTAAGCCCAATTTCTAATATCGATATGTTTCGGATTATGTTATTTTTCTTGGTTTTTAATATCGAAATTGAGGATGGGCTTTGTTTTGGAAAAAGGGAAAGTGTACTTGTAGTTCTGGATTGAACCCGGAACTGGACTCGATTGAAGTAAGTCCCTTTTGTCACTTCATCTTTGGTCGATTCGACGGATATCGGATATGGATACTTTAGTGAACATGAAACATGAATCCCCGGATAAGTTGGGTGTACTTTTCTACACTTTTTGTACCATTATAAGCTTACGAATTGGGGGAGGAGATGTTATAGTCAGGATGGGGATCTTGAACCTTGAATTCCCGACACAGAGCGTTAATCGCTTGCTCTTTCAGCTTGTCGGCTCTTTTTCTATATTGTAGGATAGCCATTTGACAAGGGAGTTTTTACATATTTCTATTTCCCTTCCTAGCTTGAATTAGTGGCTTTCTTTTGCATGAATTATGAAGATGGATTTAAACTCTCTTTTTTCCCCCTTCTTTTCTCTTGGATTTTGAGTGGAAGGGAGGGGGAGGCTGTGTTGAAGGCAGCTAACTTCGTAAATTTTAAGGTTAATTTACTTAATTCGAGCTTTAGTTGAGACTTGAGAGTTTTTAATTATTATGTTTTTTCTTGTTTACTGTCTGCTTATAAGATAATTAACTTGTTTTCTTGATTGTTGAATCGGTTTCGCAGATGCATTGCAAAGGATCGCGTCATTTGGCTGCCAAGTCCAAGGCAGAGGAAAAGGAACTCACGAGACGAGATGAAATAAACCAGAGACTAGCTTTGCAAGGCTTACCTACTACATGCTCTGTTAACTCTTCCAGTGCCACCAAGAAAAATGCTCAATCAGCTACCAAACCGTTGATCCAAATCTCAGAAGGCTGCTTCTGAGATATTTGGTAATGAAAGACTCGAGCACGATTCAAGAAATGAAAACCGTGACATGGTGCTGAGGCAGAACGATATTAAAATCATGACACCGGATTTCTTTCAGAATCACTCTTATCCGGAGAATGAAACGTCGGACAAGTTAATACAGCAGCATCTGGATTTCTGGGAACGTAGAGAGAGAGAACTTAAGTTCACATCCGCTGGTTGAATAGGCTACTGCCATGGTAAATGGCACAAAGACAAAAACGTGAGCTTCTTTTCCCCTAAATATATCTTGCTTCAACATCTTATAGCCCATTATTTCAGCATAATTAGTCTTTTTCATATAATTTGCTTGCAGGTTGAATTTGACTCGGATGAATAAGATCCGAACACCACATTTTGATTGAAGATTCACCGGGAACCCATTGGTAAACTGTTTCTTAGAGGTAAGAAAGTTTCTTTGTAAGTTTTGTGTGTAATTGATTAGGTACCAGTTCTTAATGATGTGTCCTAAGGACCACGGCTCAATGAGCTGTCTGGTTTCAGCTTTCCAACAGCTGTTCCATTAGCCCCAACAAAAGTAGAAATTTCCATGAAAAATACCCCCCACAACCACCCTCATCCCGAGTTTGGTGATTCATTGAGTCAAGAGATGTTCTTTGAGGAAGATGAAATCAACTTGGATGTTTCCGTATTCCCGCAGGACGAAAGTCGATGAAGTGCCCTCAGGCTCATGTTCACCTAGTTGGAGATCGAAGCATCCAATCCCGTTTCATCTTTCTTGAAGAAAAAAAAACGTTTTTCAGCTGGATCCATTACCAAATATAAGTAGACAAAGTCATTATCTATCAACCCTAAACCTGTGGTTTAACACTCCATTATATTGTTTTAATGTTTCCAAAGTTGAAAACAAGAAATGTATAACCAAAAAATGAAAATGTTTTGCATCTAAGATATGCTTCATTTGTACTAACTTGTGCAAAAAGAAAACTCAGACTTAACTCGGGTTAATGCAGACAATCATAAGAGGTTGTATAAAATTTACTTTCATCCTACATTTCTAACAAATAAATCGAATAAAGTTATGTAACATTTCCATTAATGTATTAATGTATCAGGTAATGTTATATTTTGAAAATTATATTCTTATAATTAATATTTGTCGTAATCTTATCTGACTCGATAGAATTAACATTTACTTTCGTCACACAAAAGAAAACGAAAGTGATGCATGATTTACGTGTGCATTACGTAGGAGATGTATACCTATAATAGATGCGTGGGCAGCCCGAAGATACATCTGGCCTTGCTTAAGGGATCTAGTGTTTCATTCCACTATACCAACTGGTTGTTGGTAGAGAAGACACATCTTTAATCAAATGCATTCATAGTTTTCCCCTTGAAGGGTCAAAGAACACATTGATGAGAATGATAAAAGCTCCTCTTCTTTTTGTTAAATTCCTTACAGTTTTTTTTTGGTTAAATTCTTTTATCAGTTCATGTATTATGCGAATCTTATTGATTTGTTTTCTATATTTTAATTTAATATTTTTTAGTTCTTGTACTTTTTCAAATTTTAGGTCATGAAATTTTTTAAATTTAATTATTCTATTAGTCGACATATTATATTTAAGTTATATATTTAGTTATTGTTATCCCATTTGATCATTTTACGTCCCTATAATTTAGTCATATTATCCTTATATTGTTTGGATAATAATTTAAATTTCAAAATTTACAAAGTACAAGGATTAAAATTGACTAAATTAGAATACCATACTAATTCTATAATGTATTCAAAAAATGAGAACTAATTATGAAATTTAACATTAAATATATTTCTTATAAACAGATTGGTATTGTAATAATTAAATGAACTAAACTCATTGTTGATGATGATATCTATTTATTATTCTAATAATTAATTAATATCTAATTTGGCCATGTTGATGTTTTCTGCGTGATAATTAATTATTTTGAAGAAAAAAAACTACTATTAATTTGATTTTTAGTTGAATGTGAATCGAATTATATATATTACAATGTAGGTATGGGCTAGCCCCCTTAAGTGGAAAATTTGTACTTTAGCCCTTTATATTTCATAAAATTTTAAATCAACATATTGATTTTAATTTCTCAAAATGATAAATTATGAATTAATTGATATCTTGACTCCTTTTTTGATACAATTACTTTTTAGGTGCCTATTAGTTTTGAAACTAGACAAAATAACCATTGATTTACCTTTTTTAAATACTTTTTATGCCCCTTCAATTTCAAAATCAAACAAATTAGATCCCAACTCCTCACTTTTAATTGATGACTTAATAATTAGACTTTAACCATCATTTTATCTCTATTTATACTTATTCAATGCAATTTCATCACGACTTTATCGTTGAATTCGACCACTAAACCGAGTCAGTTAAATGACAACAATATATATATATATATGTGTGTGTAGAAATGACCATCCAACTCAGTTGGTAGAACACAAAGTTCTTACTCTTGGGGTTATGGGATCGAGTCCCACGGAAGGCATTTCATAATTTGAAGGTCTCCTATTGAAACTGCTCTCAACCTGGCGTTGAGGGCAGCTTACTATCCTACCTCCCCTTATCCCATTACATATGGGAATAAGGGTTAGCTAATTTTTAATATATATATATATATATTGGACCAAGTTGGTTTGGTGTAGATTCTAAGGAGCAACTAAAAGTGTTGCAAAACCCCCCCCCCCAAAGTAGTAGATGAAAGATGAATTTAATCTTTATTTGTATCACATGAGACTTGATTAATTTAAACCCAAAGAAAAAATGGTTGAACTTGTTAATTAGGTTATAGTTAAGTTTGTTTAACAAATATGCTCAAAATCTTGTAAACTATATCAACCTCAAAACATGTGATTATGGCAACTAGGGGCAGACGTAGGAATTCCTGTCATGGGGTGTGAACTTAAGAAATTATATTAAAATTATAGGGGGTGCGAAATTAGATAGTTCATATATAATATAAGAAAAGTACTTAAAATATAAGAGGTTTTAAAATTTCTAAGGGTGCAACCGCACCCCTCGATCCATCCCTGATGACAATGTTAAAAATATTTGCAAATCTAAGTACTATAAAATAAGACCAGTGTATTTTTCTAATCCCAATTTTTTTCACACACCATTTTAACAAATTTAATTTTAGTGATTATAAAATATTTTTATTTTTGATAAATAATAATAATAATATGAGTTAAATTTTTATATCTACCATAAATATATATCGATGAGATTAATGAAAAAGCCATTAATATCCTTCAGCAGTCACAACTATCAATAATAACTCTATGTTCAGGATTGTGTCTGTAAAATAAGAATAG